AGAACCTGGATCCCGTGGTGGAGAGGGCGGCTCGTGCGATTGGCCATCTCCCCACTTCGGCTGGAGAACTTTTTAGCAGAGGTCTCTTCCCCAACCCTGCGGCCTGGGTGGAGCGACCCCCCCGCGACCCGCAGGACCCGTGCACCAGGCACTTTCAGTGGCCTCAGGACGGCCCCCTTTTCATTCCGGAGGGGGCCCATGTGTTCACGGACGGGTCGGGTTTTGAAGGGGAGCTCACAGGACTCGGGACCGCGGGGTGGGCTGTTGTGGTGCTGGACAGGCTCGGGAGGACCCTCGCAGCCCTTTTTGGCGTAGTGCCGTTCGGGGAAGCGCCTGGACAACTGGCACGGGATGGCGAGGATTTTGCAGTTCTGATGCTCTCCCGCCGCTCGGTCCTCGCCTCAGGGGTCTCGCTTCATGTGGACTGTGCGGCCACGGTCGGCTGCCTCCGAAACCTTTCGGGGGCTGCTGGAGCGGCCTCGGCCCGAGCCCACTGGTGGGCGGAGATTGGGGACCGTTTAGAAGGCGTAGCGGTGCATCAGATCCCGTCTCACTCGTCAATGTTGGATGTCAGGGACGGCCGTATCACGGAGATGCAGCGTTTCGGGAACTCGGAGGCGGACAGACTCGCCAAGGAAGGAGCTGAACCATTCCGAGTTGCGCGCGAGGACCGCCTGTTTGTGTCAGGATATGCTGAGTTCGTCCGACGAGTTGGGCTGTACAGTGCCAGGCAGCAGATAGAATGCAGAGACTTAGCCCTGAACGACCATCAAGGGCTGGAATGGCTCAGCTACGTCCTCCTGGACGCGGTCCCTGGCCTCCCCCTTCCTGGTTCGGACCCTGGGGAGGGTGAGCCAAGTGCGGAGTGCGAGGTGCCTCTGGGTGCGCCAGGTGCGGGGGAGGTCCCTGGCGTCACCCCTGGTGCGAACTCTGGTGAGCCGCCTCCTGAGAACCCCCCGACCCCAGGAGCTTGGCTCCAGCTGGGACACTCCCTTGAACAGGGCGTGGTTTATGAGTCGGATGGCTGCACGTATCACGATACTATGCTGTGCTGCACGGCGTGTGGTGCTATGGCACATTCCAGCACGAAACGGGGGAATCTTCGGTTGAGGTGTCGTCCTGTCGCGTCGTGGGGACGGGGGTTCTACCTTGACCGATTTCGTGCTGGACGGTATCCTGCCCATCGGAATCCTCGAGGGCTCACGATGGCGTACACGGGGGCCCCCTCTCCTGAGGTTCGCTCGGAGTGGAGGCCCTACTTCGAGGCCTGGTCCCTGGGCCGCGACCGCCCGCCGAGAGTTGCTCGGGGGGCCCAGCCCTCGCGCGGCGGGGGTCCCGCCGCAGACCGTGTGCGAGGACTCGCACTGCTCGGCCTGTCGAGGGCGGAAGTCGTGGAGCTAGGGGCCGAGGTCGAGGCCAGGCGCTGCAGAGGTGAACTCCCCGTGGAGGAGGAGGACCTCTTCGGCTGCCTTGGCCCCTCCTAACTCGTTTGTTTTTGTTGCATGTGAATTGGGTCACTCCCTTCGTGGTCGTGGGCGTCCTCCTCCTCCTCCTCCTCCTCTTCCTCCTTCTCCTCCTCCTCCTTCTCCTCCTCCTCCTCTTCCTCCTCCTCCTCCGCCTCATCCTCCTCCTCCTCCTCCTC